CGGCGACACCATGAAACCCGGCGTACAAACCACTCGGCCACGGAGATCGTCGTATGTATCTTATATAAAGTTTTTATTACTTTGCCTAGAATATTTGGAAGGTATACGTATAATAACGAACTTAATTACAATGGAAATTCATAGAATAGATTCAAATAAGTAGATAGACCAATTTCTGTATACAGAAAACATTTCGTGATATCCTCTTTTTTCTTTTTTTTGGTTATAACTCTTGCATTTAAAAAAGGGACTTTATTTGCAGATGTGTGTTAGTGTCCAGCATCAATCTCATTAATTCGGTTTTCTGACAAATGTCAAATATGTAATACTGGCTGCTTCTACAGACATAGCGACATTTTGCCGTGTAATAGCGTAATGCATATCAAACTTATGTCTAAAATGGCATTTGGCGAAATCGGAAGAAATATTTTGATAATATATACATAGACATAGTCTGAACGCACCTTTAAGCATTCAAATATACAGTGGCGATTCTGTAAAAATAATCTCACTTCCGATTTCGCCAAATGCTATATATACAGGGTGTTACAGAATTCCGAAATAAAATTTGTAGGTATGTATTCCGAAATAAAAATTTGTAGGTATCTGAGCGGGGCGCAGGGCCTGGGGGAGAGAGGGGGGTCTGTTTAGGTAGTAGTAATCGTACGCATTTATAGGGTTGTCATAGGCAGGTGTAAAACGATATTTTTATTAATTTAATTAGAAAATAAAAGTGGTCTGAAAGGCGTCAAACTTTCGTAGGTAATTCTATACAAGGAACACAACCAAACCCTAAAGTTTTATTTCGGACTTTTGTCACACCTGTATATATTTATATATAAATAAACCAGCTTTTTCCATACAATCGATTATGACACTTCACGGAGCTATCAATAACCCTGGCTTGCGCTTCTGTACTACAGTTCGCTTGTAGCGAGTGTAGCTGTATAATCGCTCTAATGGTAAGCGATCGATATTGCAACTGTGCTCGATGTTTGTGTCATGGTGTGTGCCGCTCATTTAAAAAAATGGGTGCGTGTACTTATGTAGGCGCGTGAGAAGTTATCCTTCTTTGGCATCGTTTAAAATTAGTTTTTAATTGCATGCAAATAATTAATTACAATAAATTAATAAAAAGTCTGGAAAAGGACACAGTCAATAAAGTTCAGTTTTAATTTGAAAAAATAAATAAATAATCAAAATATTCAATTAAAATCGCTACTGAATATAATTTATTAGAACATATGTGATTTGCACTTGTATGAAACTCAAACACGTATTCCGAATATACAAACTAGAAACATGTGGATAAATATTATAAATATGAATACCTATAACTGTTACTTTATTACAAAAAATAAAGATGTGGTTTTTGGTTCTACTACACCAATGGTCAAGAGATGGCGCTGTAGTCTCCTGAATCGCGCTTTGGTTCCGTTGTTCCAGATTAATAAATACTTTTGATAGGCCTTCACAATGCAGTCGTTAGCACCCACTAAATAGAGATTCTATTTCTATTTTGTTGGTAGATTTTCTTAATGTGCGGTAAACACAAAAGTAACTTCATGCTGTTAAAAATTTGTGATACAGTGATGCGCGCGCATCTTAAAATTTCACTCTCATCATTTTTTCATAACGCACCTAAAGAAGTATAACTTCAAAAACCGAACAACTCCGAGTCGGAGTTGCGCACCGAGGATTTTGTACAAAGTACAATGTTAAAATAGGGATGATGACTAATTTTTTTTTTCATCGTTTATCAGGTAGATTATCAAAAAAAAATTTTCTTTTTTCACATAATATTAACATTGCAGAGATATATTGATTTGAAAAGTCGCATGACGTCACGTTTGAGTACACTTATAAGTGAAAATTCACTCAAAAGTGACGTCACGAGCCCCTACTCCCAAACTTTGAGGCGCTATAACTTTGTCATTTTTTGGTTGATTGCCCAAAGAAAAAATACGTGTCCATTATTTTTTGATCATCTAACTGACGGACTAAATAGAATTTCGTTTATTGTACCCCGTCATCACCCCTATTGGCCTAAGAACCAACACCAATTTGACATTTATGATAATTCTTAGTATATTTTTTGCGATAATTATCAGTATTTAGATTGTGACGGACACTTCCAGTTAAGTAAAGTTAAAAAATAATCTGAGACAGTAAATACCATTTTATGTGTATAATCTATGGCAGAGCTGCAAACAAAACACTCTTTCCTCCTAATGCCGGCACTTCACTTGGCTATTCGTATTTGCTATTTTAAAACATGACATCAGTCTGTCCTTTTCATTCCTTTCAAGCATGACAAGGACAAACTGTTGTCAATGAAGGGCCGGCATAAAACTCGATACTCTGTGGTTGTGGTGCATGCAGTTTGCATTCGTAGTAATCTGTGGCATTCGTGCATTTCAAACAGTAGTTTAACATACCGGAAAATGCATTCTCGTTTCGGATTACCTGTTGTGTGTGTTTTTTGCGATTGTTTTTCCTTTAATTTAACTATTTCGGCTATCTGATATGCCATCGATGTTACCAAAGAGCAGGGCCCTTATTACAAAGTGCTAGTGAACCTGTGCCACAACATTCTGAGAGGATCATACTGCCAAATTATTCAAGAACACCTGATACACAGTCACGCTGCATATTTACACAATATACATGTGATATACAAATAAATACAATAAACAATATGATACAATTATGTGAAAAATAGTTAATAAATAAGAAGCAAAACTACAGTTTTTATTTTAATCATGATTCCTACCTAACCAAGTTTTTCCTAATAGTAATTCTTTAAAATCGCACCGAATAAAAATGAATTAGTTGTAATATTAATCACTTCATACTGAGTTCATACTAAGATCATAGGTTGACCTATGTTTCATTGAATATTAAACATAACTTCAAAAAAGTTTTAGTTTTCCTAATAATTTAAGTTCTCAGAAGTGTCTTCCGTTAATAATCTTCGTTTTTACAGTCATTTACTTACGATTTGGAACCTAGAAATTAATCTTTCATGATTGTTGGTTCTTAGGCTAACTATGTATGGACGCTGAACAATGTCCTTTGTAGGTTCGCAACATACAAAAACGGCTGATTATTTTTACATTAATGTAGAAGTGAGTTTTATTTACAACTTCTTAAAAGTTTTTATTTTTCACTTTTTATAAGCCAGAGTCACATCAACTTACTAAATATATAGATATTTGTATTTCTGATCCGCGATTTCCCTTCCATATATGTACTGTTCGTATTTTGAGGTGTTCCGTTGTTTATCTCCTAAAGTATTTATCAGATCTACACCAAATTAATATGGGGCCATCTCGCTAATAAACACTTACAAACAAAAAAAAATGATGTGGTGTCGTGGGACACCAGGTAGGAACGAAGTTCCTTCGGCTAATGTAGAATCGACACAAATTGCAAACTCGCTTGTGTATGCGACTGTCGCGCCTGTGCACGTCTCATTTAACGGTTTTATTCCACGCACTTTTTTCCACGGATTTTTTCTTACGGTTCTATCACATTTTTTTCAGTTCGGTCAGCTAGTGTTCGTACTGGACTTAACCACAGTTTAGTATAATATACGACAATAATCCAGTGTTGGTATAATGCTACAATAATTTGGGGTTGCACCCCCGTCGCTCTGTCACCCCCTGTTAAGTACTGACCTTGTTATCATGTCTAGCTTAAGTTTACAGAAGATGACAGGCGTTCCTGGTCAACAGCTCGGTATAACGTCACAAATATCCAGATTTCGTGTAATGTCACAATATTCCAGTGCTGCACCCTCGTAGCTGTGCCACCCCCTACATACGCACCTTATTATCATGTCCCGTTAGCGTTCGTAAAGGATGCTAGGCAGGACTGGCCCATAGTTTAGAATAAACTACAATGTCACAATAATCCAGTGATGCACCCTCGTCGCTCTACCACCCCCTATAACTTCACACATATTCACTGTTGGTGTAATATCACAATATTTCAGTGATGCACCCTTGTCGCTCTCCCACCCCCTATAACTTCACACATATTCAGTGTTGGTGTAATATCACAATATTTCAGTGATGCACCCTCGTCGCTCTACCACCCCCTATAACTTCACACATAATTAGTGTTGGTGTAATATCACAATATTTCAGTGATGCACCCTCGTCGCTCTACCACCCCCTATAACTTCACACATATTCAGTGTAGGTGTAATATAACAATATTTCAGTGATGCACCCTCGTCGCTCTACCACCCCCTATAACTTCACACATATTCAGTGTAGGTGTAATATAACAATATTTCAGTGATGCACCCTCGTCGCTCTACCACCCCCTATAACTTCACACATATTCAGTGTTTGTGTAATATCACAATATTTCAGTGATGCACCCTCGTCGCTCTACCACCCCCTATAACTTCACACATATTCAGTGTTGGTGTAGTATCACAATATTTCAGTGATGCACCCTCGTCGCTCTACTACCCCCTATAACTTCACACATATTCAGTGTTGGTGTAATATCACAATATTTCAGTGATGCACCCTCGTCGCTCTACCACCCCCTATAACTTCACACATATTCAGTGTTGGTGTAATATCACAATATTTCAGTGATGCACCCTCGTCGCTCTACCACCCCCTATGCGCACGTCTCATTTAATGCTTTATTCCACGCATTTTTTCTTACGGTTTTACTATCACATTTTTTTCAGTTCGGTCGCGCAGCAAAATCCCTATCCCCTCCAACCCTGCCGTAAGGAACTTTCGTTCCAAAAAAAAACATCAAAATCGGTCAATTAACCCCGGAGTATGCGCGAAATACGTAAAAAAATGACGAATTCAGAACATCCTCCTCAAAAAAAGTCTTCAAAAGTCGGTAAAAGAACAACCTATACAAGGTACTTCAAAATGGTTGATGTATCAAAACTTTTTTAGACTAGTTTTATTTTCAAGTAACTAGCTACCTAGATGTAACATTATATTTGTTTCGTTCCAGAAATGCTATTACGGAAGAAATGGAGGTACCTCAGAGACCAATACGCGGTGGAGACGTCCAAGATCCCGCGGGCTCTGGAGGGATCCTACACGCCCAAGTGGCCGCCCTTCAAATCCTTACACTTTCTGAAGGGCGTCATACCTCGGAGAGACAGAAAGAGGAAAGTCAGGCGTTCGTCTTCGAACACATCGGATGACCAGAACGACGAGCAGAGCGATATGGCAGCAATGTCGTACCAGGAGGATGAGTCGCACGACCCTTTCGAAGACGAAGTAGATGTTAAGCCTTCTAGAAAGAAATTGATATTTGCCTCTTCAAATAATGCAATAACGTATCAGGAAGAAAGACCTAAGGAAGAAGACGATAATGAACACATGTATTTCTTCAAGAGTCTTCTACCGCACGTGCGAGAGATTCCTCGCCGACGATTACTGGCATTCAGAAGTTGTATTCAAGCGATAGTGGAGGACTTTGCTTACTCGACTGATGCAAACTCTTCCCGTTTTCACCAACAACCCTTTCAAGTGAGAGAGTACTTGCAACGTTTAGGTGATAACTAACAAGATATTGTATGACAGAGCATATAACAATTACAATAATAGGGATGATGACTATTTTTTGACGTGACAACGTCTTAAATTAGGTTGCGGCTGGGAGTCACTTATGAAAAAGTGTAACGCTCGGTAACGTTACGATGAGTCTCTCGTGTTAAGTTTAAGTTTACATGTACAATGTTTTAGTAAACAAAATATATTTCTATAGTTAAAATTTGTGCAATTCTTATTTTCATTCAATTCCTTGTTCCTATTGTGCAATTTAATTATATTCATATCAATAAATATTCTACCGAGAAAAAGACGTTGTCACGTAAAATCTTCGCCCGTAAAACCGACTTTACAGGCAACCATTTTTTTTTCTTCGTTTATCAGGTAGATTATCAAAAAGTGTTGGACACATATTTTTTCTTTTTTCACATAATATAAACATTGCAGAGATATATTGATTTGAAAAGTCGCATGACGTCACGTTTGAGTACACTTTTAAGTGACAAATCATTCAAAAGTGACGTCACGAGCCCCTACTCCCAAACTTTGACGCGCTATAACTTTGTCATTTTTTGGTTGATTGCCCAAAGAAAAAATACGTGTCCATTATTTTTTGATCATCTAACTGACGGACTAAATAGAATTTCGTTAACTGTACCCCGTCATCACCCCCATTGTTACATTCAGGATCATAACATTTTTACTATAGAAATAAGTTTTAGGAAATGTTTTGAAAATACCACGTGTTTAAAAAGGTACGTGCCGCTATGATTATTTTAACGAAGGCTCGTTAATTTTGTTTGTAAAAGTGTCATGTGTAATGTTTTGTTAGAAGTAACGAAAAATGTGATATTTAACATAATTATTTTAACTTGATCGAAAGGTATTTTTAAGTTAATTTCTTTAGCTTCTTTAAAATAAATAGAAATTTGGTATTAATAAATTGACACTGATTTTTTAACTTTTTCATATCACTACTTATATGTAACTAGCGGCCCGCCCTCGCTTCGCTTCGGTGTAGAGCTGAAGTGTAGACTACAGTTTTTGTTCTCAGGCTTGTATTATACACAATGACATTCATCTATGATTCCTCTTATACCTGCATGCAAAGTTTCAGTCCGATCGGTTTAAAATTTACAAAGTTTCATACAAACTTTCATTCCCTATTTTATCCCCTTGGGGATAGAATTGATTAAAATCCTTTCTTAGCGGATGCCTACGTCATAAGATCTACCTGCATGTCAAATTTCAGCCCGATCCATCCAGTGGTTTGGGCTGTGCGTTGATAGATCACTATGTCAGTCAGTCACCTTTGAGTTTTATATATATAGATTTTATCGTCTATCAGGTACTTTTATAATCTAAAGATAAACTATATGATGTGGGAGAGATTAATAGAAGTGTCATGATATCGAGATTTAATTAATAATTTTAGGGTCAGCCCCAACGAACCGAACCGAATACCGAATTCAATAACGGTTTACAGATATCCTTATCACATTTGCATATTTAGTTTTACGCAGGTTTAGTTTATGCACTTTTGGTATTGAGTTCTGGTCTTTATGACGATTGAAATAAGGTTGATTGGTAAAACTATGTAATTGAATATTGCACGAAATTCATGTTTGTCTTTGTTGTTTGTTCATATGGAGGGTGAAGGAGACCGCGATATTACAAGGGTCGAACCTTTCATAGAAATGTTGTTGCATAACCACAGAGCCAGATGTGTGTAACAATCAACGTAATTACGATGATAAGATTAATATTTTTTTTTGTAAAACTGAGGACTTCTTTTGTTTCCCCCTTTTTTAAGCTAGAGTACTTAACATTAACTAAATATAAAAAAACGAGTGCGTTTATGACCAATCGACTGAAGTGAAACTTCTTTAGCTCCATCTGTATGTCTATCTTTATATATATAATTCTTCTGTGAGTGTGTATGTCACTGAACTTCTCTTAAACGACTGAACCGATTTTGATGAAATTTTTTGTGTGTGCTCAAGGGGATCTGAGAATGGTTTAGATTCACAATTTTGTCCGCTGGACAACCCCTATTTTTTTAGGGCGGTACGAAGTTCGCTGGGTCAGCTAGTATATATATAAAACTCAAAGGTGACTGACTGAATGACATAATAATCTGTCAACGCACAGCTCAAACCACTAGACGGATCGGGCTGAAATTTGGCATGCAGGTAGATGTTATGACGTAGGCATCCGCTAAGAAAGGGTTTTGATCAATTCTACCCCCAAAGGGATAAAATAGGGAATGAAAGTTTGTATGAAACTTTGTCAATTTTAAAACGATCGGGCTGAGACTTTGCATGCAGGTATAAGAAGAATCATAGATGAATGTCATTGTGTATAATACAAGCCTGAGAACAAAAACTGTAGTCTACACTTTAGCTCTACACCGAAGCGAAGCAGTATTTATATATATTAAATAAACATAATTTCAATGATGAAGCTGTATAAAACCAAAAGGGTATAAGATGTTTCGCCATATTTTATGTTTTCGCACACCTTGTGTTGATCGTATGTAAAGTAAACCAAATGTAAATGTAACTAATTAAAATTATTAATAAGACGACAAAAATAACGAAGTTTCATTTAAGTACAAACTTAAGCATCTTTATCTGTTCATTAGATGACTTGTGATTCTGATTAACGGCTATAGGTCGTTCCATTCCAACCTGATAAGTTTGACGACCTCCGTGGCCGAGTGGTTTGTACGCCGGGTTTCATGGTGTCGCCGACTCGAGAGGTCCCGGGTTCGAATCCCGGTGGGGGCAGATGTTTGTGTGATGAATACGAGCATTTGTACTCCAGTCATGGATGTTTAATATGTATTTCTATATAAATATACTTAGATATGTACAGTATATGTATTCTATCCGTTACCCTAGCATCCCATAACACAAGCCTTACAGTGCTTACTTTGGGGCTAGGCTTATTGGTGTAAGTATAAAAAAAAGAGGCCTATATTAAGACGGCTTGCATGTACTATAACAATCATGATATTTAAAAAAACCGGTTATGTAAAGAGGGGAGGCGCGCTATGTCTTTTCCATACAAACATTCTCGACTGTTCCTCCTTGGTTTTTATCACTAAAGAATTGGTTTTCATACATAAAATATTATTTTACTCATTCTCCTATGTTTTCCATTTTTCGATTACTTGTGTTTCAAAGAAACTAAAAGCCCTCGAAAAACGGCAAAAATAACAATATTTTTATCACCACTAAAGACGTCTAGTGTGGAGATGAAATGAGCATTTTCAAAAAGTTCAAAACATAGGCATAGCATAACTACTTATTATTCTTTGTGTAAAATTTGTGCTACAAATATCTAATTTTCGAGGAGGAAATCGTCGAGAGCTAAACCTGGAATTTTACATTTTTTATACGCAATTATCAGCGTAAACTACTGTTGTCCCAATCACACGGTGTTAAAGTCTGTGCGGAAAGAGAATGGGCGTGGCGAAAAACGGAACTAACATTAAGATTTTTTATTTAGCAATCAAACCCAGCAATCTGTAAAACGTCAAAGTTTTGTATTGATACGGATTTGTTTGTTGTTGTGATTTCTTGCGGTGTTTTATATTTATTCATGTCTCAAAGGGGTAAAACCTTACAAATACGGTAGAAAAGCACTACAGCGCCCTCTAATCTAAATCCCATTCTCTTTCCGCACAAACTCTAGTCAATGCGTGACAGCAATAGTTTTTTCAAATATCTATTTCTCAAATGTCTCAGGTCGCGTTCGCTCTTAGGAGTCTGACTGGCGTACGAAGAATTCCGTACGTACTATTATAGTACAACATAACACACTATTTTATAATTTAGAGCAAAAAGGCAATAAAATCACGTTTGTTGTATGGGAGCCTTATTTAAATGTTTTAGTTTACTCTGTTTTTACCCGAACAAACGCGAGGACCGATTTTAATGATTTATACGTCAATTCACAACAATTAGGCGATATATTTTGAGTAAGAAAAAAAAAGTTGACGAAATATGTCGAGTGGGGTATCATTGTCCAGATAATCGAAAATGATGTCCAGGTGTCCTACAACATTTTTCATTTTATATGACTGTTTAGGATATACAACGATTTAAAGTTGTATATTAACCACTTGCGCTTTTTTATTGCCCGACTGCGTAATGCAAGAGCGCGTAGCGCGACGCGCAGACGATTCTGTACATTTGCTAAAACGACTGAAGACTGTAACGTGCCTTCCGAAGCACGGAAGAGCTCAAGATACTAAGTTTTCGGTCACCCATCTAATGGCCGATCATTGCAAAAGTTGTTTAACTTTCGCTATCTCAGGCCGAATGCGCTAACCATTTGCACCGTCGAACTCAACATGGTTAGTATTGATATAAAAATATTCTAAATCTAGGTGCTAAATAATAAAATAGTAGGTAGACAATTAATTCAATAAAGGGTAATGAAATATTGGTTACAAAATTTGAAATCATTGCTACGGAATCGGCGAAATCTAATTTATATTAATGAATGTTCCTTAATGACAATTAGTGCAGCTCCCACCTGCACTTTAATTGCTGTGCTATTAATATCTGCATAGTGTTTCTACAATAATGTTGGATATTCAACGGTAATATGTAGTTCATTTATTCTAATATAAATTTTAACAATTAAGACGTTTATTGTAGTGTACCTGTTTTAGATTGTATACTTACATACTTTCTAGAATAGTTAACTATTTAATACGTACTAATATTTTAAATTGGTTCTTAGCTTTTTTAAGATGTTAAAACACGTAAGTTTATTCTCATTTCTGTGCCCACAAAGGGGGCACTAATATATTTTATTATTGTCAATGTTTGCGTGGTGATTGGAATCGTTTTATACAGAAGTAATATTATGAAAAAAAAAAATTGTGATAATTATATACTTCATATCATCATCATCAGCCTATTAATGTCCCCACTGCTGGAACTCAGGCCTTTCCTATGGATGGA